AAAAAATGGACAGAGGGGGAGTTTGGTTTACACAGAGCAAGTTGGTAATGGTCTCTCCACAAGGAAGGTGCTAAGTGCCTATGTGTGGCCTTGACAGTGTCCCTGCTGGGTTTCCAGTTCAGAGCTACTTAGGGCCCCTCACAGATCGCCACCTGCTGAGTGCTCCACCTGGGCAGGCTGTTAACCCTCTGGCCTCCTGGTTCTCACTCCTGACTGGTTTCCTTCATGGAGCTGATGGAGGGGCACTTGGGAAATAACAGAGCACTTGTCTGGTGGCCGCCTGTAGCCTGTGGCTCGGTCCCCAGCACTCCCAACTCTCCTTCCCCGATTCCTGGGCATCTGTCTTTATCCCATAGGTCCTGTGGCTCCACACCCACCTGCCCTGAGGGCCAGGCAAATGGGTGGGACAAGTTAAGAAGCGGAGGAGACCAGAACACACTAGATGGCGGTGACGGAGTTAGCTTCGGAGAATGTTCACCATATGGAAATGAGGGCTCAGAACTTCCCATTTCTCCAGTAAAGCAACCTCCCCGACCCCAATAAAATCTCTGGGGCACAAAGTCTCAGGAATTTTTATTGTTGACAATTTCATGAAAACTTTCAAAAACATGGCTAGGGCAGACAAAATACTGCTATCAGTCAAGGCCACCTGCAGGCACAATTCGATTCGCAACTCCATCTTCTTTGGCTGTTGGAAAGCACAGCGAGGACCAGGCACTGGCTGGGGTGGGGGGCGGCAGGGTACAGGACCTCACCTGTAAACAAAGGAGAGCTGGAGTCAGAGCCTGAAGGAGGGACTGCAGCGGGAGGGAGACCTCCACGGAGGCTTCCTGGAAGCAGAGCTTTGAGCTGGGCTCTGCAGATAGAGGGCGCAGAGCCATTCAGGGAAACAGACACACAGCTTTGAACTTCAGAGAAGGGCAAATGTTTCAGGGAGCTAGAGTACACGTGGGGTACGCAGCGCAGCACTCAGAGGGGAGATTAGGACTCTTTCTGCCCCAAAATCAGAGAGAGCACGCGTGCCTGCTGTCACCTGGACAGCACCTCACAGTGCTGCAGGCCCTCACGACCTGCAGCAAGGGGAACAGGAAGTTGGGTGGAAACCAGAAGCCAAGGCTGGAAGCACTGTTGCCCGCCACAGCACCGGGTTCGCTCAGGATGCAGGGCCCAGCAAGCAACCGTTGATCATGATTCTGAAGCAGAGTCTGGGGCTTCAGAGAGAAATAATCAGGAGTTTCCCCTGTTTTGAAGGAGATCACTGTTTGGTGGCTGTCACCAGAGAGAGTTTGGGCATTTGATTTATGCTGCTTAATGCAGAAAGAAGAGGACTTCGCTGAATTGCATGGGGTCTGAGTAACTTGTTGCCGACACCCAAAGTTAAAGGAGGAAAGGTTTATTTCAGCTCCCAGTTTGTAGAGTTTTTCAGTTCATAATCACCTGCCACCAAGGCAGGGTGGAACTCCAGAGGGGCATCACAGAGGAGAAACAGTTCATGGAAGACAAGACAGTCAAAGCAGCGAGCAATGACACCAGCCGTCTTTCTGTCCCTTATGCTCTATCCAGGCTTCCCACTCACTCCCAGAGAGAGGCTTTCTTTTTCTTTTTTTCTCCTCTTTTCCTTTTTCTTTTTCTTTTCTTTCTTTCTTTTTTTTTTTTTTTAGATGTATTTAGTACAGGGTCAACAGGGTCTCACTACACAGATTGACTTGTAGTGATCCTTCTGTTTTCTGCCTCCCAAGCACTGGGATTACAGGGGGGCACCACCATGCCCAGTCTCAATCCCATGTCTCAGTACACCCTAGGGGCAGGGCCAGCATGGCACATGGGGAGACATGCCAGGGATTAAACCCCCACCACCACGCTCTGCCTGAGCAGGTGCTTTAATCTGTGGAGCTATCTGACCACCCCTTCTTTTCTTTTCTTCCTTTTCTTAAAAAAAAATGTATTTGGGGGCTGGTGAGATGGCTCAGTGGTCTAAAGCACCTATTTAGAACAAGCTTAGCAAAGCACAGGGATCGCGGTTCAATCCCCCAGCACCACATGCCAGCCAGCCCCGCCCCCTGGTGGGCTGAGCTGACCACACACACACACACATACATACATAAATAAAAAAAATAAAAAATTTTTAAAAAATGTATTTGGTACAGAGTCTCACTACACAGATTGGACTCATAGTGATCCTCCTGTTTTCAGCCTCACCAGTGCTGGGATTACAGGTGTGTGATGCGCCACCATGCGGCATGTTGTGCGGCTGATCGAACACCGGTCCCTAAACTTGCCTAAGCAAGGAACTAGTCTGTTGTGCTACCTGGCTAGCCCTGGGAGAGGGCCTCTTAATCCTACCCAGAACTATGCCAAACCCATCAGCAGACTAATTTAGTAAGCTCATACCCTCGATCCCACCATCAGATGCTCTAGATCCCAGCAACCTCTGAAAAGCCGCACCTACGGCTGCAGGAAGTCTGGCAGGGACATCTAGATACAAACCATGACACTAGGGTGGAGGGTTGTAGAGGAGGAGACTTAGGAGGAGACACCAGGCTTTTATTTTTCTGCCTTACTGGGAACTGAACCCAAGCACACGTGCAAGTTAGTGAGAGCTATACTCCTAGCTTACTTTCTGCTCTTTACACACATTTTACTATTTACACGTTCCTGGGAATGAGATGTTATTATCAATCTCCATTTCCCAGTCAAGCAACAAGACACTTCAAGGCAGTGAGTGACCCAGTGTACCCCAGTGTACTGGTAAGGGAAAAAGAAGGATCTAGATCCCATCTCCTGGAGGTCTAAGCACAGAATCCCAGCACTCAGCCGTGCCGCTCACTGCTGGTCCCCAGCCTCCTGATGGAAAGTGTGGAGAACTTAAAGGGACTTTGTCCAGCCTCCAGCCAGCTGCAGCCTCAAAGGTTATCTCCCAGGTCAGGTGATCTGTCGGTCAGTGTGTCTGGGGCAGGAGACGTGCAAAGGTGCCGTTCCTCACCTGGGAAAAGGACACGGGAAACAGACCCTGGATAACTCATGTCCCCTAAAATTGGAAGGATGACAGCCTCTGTCCTGACGAGGCCTCAGAGCTTTGCTTCTTCTGCAGAGTTCTGAGATGGATGAGTTCAGAGACAGCTGAGCGCTGCCAAACAGTCTAGGTCCTCCTGCTGCTCACGGAGAAATCCCAGGCCCTCACCAACCTCTGGGCCAATCCACATCAGAAGTGAGTTCCGTCTGCAGCAGCTATGCTGGGAAACACAACAACTTGAGAGCTTTTTTTTTTTTTTGGAAATCTTAGTCCATGGCCCCTTTTTATTATGGGAAAGTCCTAGGGGCAAAAAAACATTGGTTTGGGTGACAAGCAGATAGACCCTTTGTGTACTGGCTGCTCCTTTTTGTGACCCCAAGAAGAGGGGATAAGCAGAATGATAATCAAATGCCTGATGCAGTCACCTCACTGGCCAATGGAAGCTATTGTCATTATCTTTGTGTGTGTGTGTGCTGGGGAATACTAAGGTTTGAATCCAGGGCCTTCCACTGAGCTACACCTGCCAGTCTTTTTTTTTCTTTTTCCACATTTTTTACAGGGTCTACAGGGTCTCACTACGTAGATCAGACTCCTAGTGATCTTCCTGTGTTTAGCCTCCCAAGAGCTGGGATTATAGGAGTACGCCACCATGCCCAGTCTCAATCGGCATCTCAGTGCCCCTAAGTCTGCCTAAGCTTTAAGCCGCTGAGCTCTTTGGCCAGCCCTCTTTTTTCACATTTGGCAGAAGCAGGGATCAAACTCAGGCCCATACGTTTGCCAGGGAAGCATTTATTCCACTGAGCCATCTCCCTGACACCTTTTTTTCACATCTTGAGATTGTTAAATTGCCAAGGCTGAGCTCAAACTAGGGATTCCCCTCCCTCAGCCTTCAAGAATGTTCTTTTCTTATCATATCTTTGGATGGAGCACCTCTTATGTGCCACATAGTGAAAGTGATACAGGGTGTTTGATTTTAAGAAGCCTCTAGCCCAGTGTGGAAAGTAGATATATTATCTTTTTTTTTCCTTTCTCAATCTTGATGAGTAACGATGCCCTGTGCCGATTGTGTGTTCAGAGAGACTGCCCGGATTCTAGAACTGGTGACGGCCTAGGATCTCTGGGCCCTGGGATTGACTGTCTCCTCCTCAATACCTCCCTTCTTGCCATCTCGGCACCCATGCACAGGGCCAGGGCTCCCACAGTGCTACACAGCGTCCAGTCCATCATGCACAGATGTTGGGGGTGCCTGCTGCCTCTGGGGAGGGACTGAGGCAGGGGCCTGGAGCTCATCACAACTAGTAACCAGGGAGCACTCCGGGGCTAGGGCAGTGGAAACTACAGGACACCACTGATAATACCGGTATATATGGCGCCCGGGACACAGCTCAGAAAAATAAGCGCTTGCCTGGCAAATACAAGGACCTGAGTTCAATCCCTAGTTCCACAAAAGAACAAAAACCGGTATATACAAGTCTTTTTTTTTTTTTTTTTTTTTTTTGCAGAACCGGGGATTGAACTCAGGCCATTGCACTTGTTAGGAAAGCACTTATTCTACAGAGCCATCTCCCTGGCCCCTACAAGTCTTCATAATCATATCAGGTTCTAGAGCTTGCAAAGCATTTTTACATTTATACTACTCAATCTGTATGGGAGGAGATATTTCCAGCTAGGTTTTATTTGTTTATTATTTTTCTGCAAAGCTTTATTCTAGAGGGGCTCAGTCCTTCTTGGCAGCTGCCTTCCTCATGGCGGCCAGCACGTTGCTCAGCTCCTCATGCTTCCTCTTGGCTCGGATGTGCATCCCCACCCTTTTCTTGATGAACTTGAGGGCGTGCTTGTCCTTGGAGACCTTGAGCAGCTCCATGGCGCGCTGCTGGTAGGGGGCAAAGCCGCAAGCCTCCCAGATCATGTCCCACACGAACTTGGTGTGTTTGGTTAGACGTCCGCGGCGGCGGCTGTGCCTCGGTTTGCTCACATTCTTAGTCACCTTGTGGCCCTTGTTGAGGCCCTCAGCCATGGGGTAGCAGAGGGCCATGGCTGCTCTTCTTAGATGGTTGCTGTGGTGGAAGGCACATAGGTAGACAATAAACTCAAAGGTGGGTTTCAAACTGCAACTAGAATTTTACCTGGCCCACCTAGGTTTCTAAAGTCTTGTGAAAAGCCTCACTGGGGTGCCTACTAGTTATGTAGATGGATTGCCACACCCTCTCTTAAAAATTCTACTTCTGAAAGTCTGGCTAAGACTCAGGAATCAACGGTTTTAAAAAAGTTCCAGAAAATGCGCATTTCCTTGCAAGTCTGCAGACAGAGCCTTGCACTGATTTATGGACTTAACTCAGATTTGGCTCCTGACACACTGCGGAGGGCACAATGAGCAGGTCAGTCCTGGCTCGAAGGCTCTCACGGGTACGCAGCTTGACCAGGGCCCATGTGAGATCTGCAGCCCAGGTCTCTTGGGCCAGACCCCTTCTGGCGGGGTCAGACACCCCCTTCCAGAGGACACGGGTTGAGGCCTCCTTCCACTTTCTAACACATGCCTCGCAAAGAGCCACTGGTGGCTCTTTCTAGCTGGAGGCATCTCCTGAAAGGGCGCAGGTATGTAAAGCACTTAGCACAGTGCCCAGCGTGTAGTAACTGCTCAGTAAATGTTAGCCAGCTGCTAATGGGCCAGTCAAAGACAGAAAAGGAGGAGGGATTTGGGGACGGTGGAGAAGAAAGCCCTCTAGCATTGAAAAACAGAAGGGGCCAGACTTTGGGGCCCGAATTTACATTTCTTTAAAGGTAATTCCAGCCCTGACCTTCCCTAGGGAGCCAAGGAGGTCCCTCCTGTGCAGATAAGGAGAGCAGGGCCTAGGAGAAGGCTGGGAGAGGTTTGGAGCTGAACCCAGGTGTCCCTGGCTCTGCCATAGCAGGTAGGGATATGGCCACTGGGGTGAAGCCGGCAGGGCTGGGGATCAACCCTCCCAAAGCCCCCATTCCCTCCCGGGCCAGTCACACCCCAGGCTCACTCCCTTTTCAGATGTAGAAGTATGCCTGGATCCTCCCTCCCTGCGTCCCCAGGACAGCACTTCCGTATTTGGAGCTGGCACTTGTCCCCATGGGCTTTCCTGTGGAGCTCAACTTGGTTGCTGAGAGTACCCAGGACCTGTAATTTCCCCGAGGCTGACCCTCCACACAGACCAGGTTGAAAAGGCCAGGGATGCTCCGGTATGATCGAGACAGTGGCTACACCCAAAGCGTCCCGGGCCACCGCCTGATATCTGAGCTTCACCCCAAAGCGCTACCTGCCTCTCCAGACCCGTGTTCATGTGGAGGGGAAGAAGGCCAGGCAGGAGTTCAGGTGAGGCTCTGCCGAGCGCAAAATAGCATGATGTGCCCCAGAAACAACGTCTTTGCTGTTTAGAGGCACCCAGGGCACCCAGACTCGTCCCTACATCTAAAGCCCCTTGCAGTGGGCAGACATTCCCATCGATGTCTTCCCGTCAGATTTCACGCTTGCTCACAGGGAGTCTCTTCACGTTCCCCCCCCCTCCAACCCCCAAGGTTGGAAGAATCTTAGGTTCTTAAAGCTTCCCGGGAAGGCGGGGGCGGGGCGGCGGCGGCCCAGAATATAAGGGGAGGAGGCGCGGCTCCCAGATCCGCTGAGCCCACCATGCGCGCCCACCGCCTTCCCGTCCTCCTCGTGCACGCACTGTGGGCCCTGCTCCAGGCGGGCGCCGCGACGGTGGCCACCCTGCCCCTATGGACTCCAGGGCAGCCCTCGTCGCCGTCCCCTCTGGCGTACATGCTGAGCCTCTACCGCGACCCGCTGCCCCGGGCCGACATCATCCGCAGCCTGCAGGCGCAAGGTAGGCTACGACCCGCTCTCCTCAGGGCTGCAGAAATGCGCCACTGCAGCTCGGTGCCGGAACGCCTCGCCCGAGGGCTCCCAGGGCAAGTCCAGGATCCGGCTCCCCAGGTGTCTGCGCGTGGGCAGGCGCGGGGCGGGGCGGGGCGCCGCGTGGGAGGGGATCCCCGCCTCTCGTGGCCGGGAGTGGGGAGAGGAAGGTGGGGTCGGATCGCGCCAGGGGCTTCTTCGCAGACTTAGTCGCGAACCTTGACAATAGGTATCATCAATTTCTCTTGTAAGAAAACCGGGGAGGCCCGGCTGACAGCTCTCTTCCAACCCTGCACAGGAACCGGCAGCGTATGAATTAAAAGTCATTACTATTATTGTTTTGTCTCGTCGAATTTCCGTTTTCTTATTGCGAAGGAGAGTGCGTGGGCCCTGAGGTCTGGCGTCGTGAGGGTCTCAGACTGAGGCTTTAACCTCAGCGATTAGGGCTCACAGATCCAAGAAGAGGGATGGGGAGTTCAGAGGTTTAGAAATGGGGATGCCTCAGGTCTGGGAGCTTAGACCCGACTTCAGGTCAGCTTCAGGGCCTCGATGTGGACGGGGTGTATGTCGGGGCCAAGGTGACCTGAGGGTGTGTGGCTCCCGAGGACCAGGAGATTGCCTGTCCCTTTACAGATGACTGTGTGCTCCTGTGCGTTCTGGGCTCCTGGCGCAGGGTCCCCTCTCCTGGCGCAATCCACATCCCGCCACCTGGACAGCCGCTACGGGCCCGCGCCTTCCTCGGCCTGCGGGACCAGACGACCCTCCCCGGGGCGGTGCAATCCACATCCGCTGATGTGATCTGCCCCGCGGCTGCAGCCCCTAGGGCCGGGGGGCGGGACTCCTAGCTTCCCCGCCCATCTGGAGTGGGATGGTGGTTGACCCGCTCCACCAGGGTCGTTTGGGGACTGTCCAGACGGGGACATCCAGGAAGACTGGGCACTGGGATAAGTGTAGTGTGCCCCGCCTCTCTGGCTGGAACCCGCTCTGACCAGAGCGCTGCGGGTGCTGGGTGTGGGAAGGGGGAGGGGCACCGCTTCCCAGTTCACTTCCTTCGGGAAGCTTCTTGAAGGTTTGTGCAGCGATCTGACAAACCCGACAATCTGGAAAACTGGGTTCTGGTCCCTCCAACCTTGCGCCTCGATTCCTTGTGTGACCCCGACACATTTCAGCTCACCTGCCTTTTATAAATTAGGAGACCTTATCTTTTGTGTGTGTGAATAGGCATAGCAATGTTTGCCATTCTGACCACCTTGAAGAGTTGTGAATTGTTCTATTTTGTGAGAACAGCAAGAGGAACCGGCTGGGAAGAAGCCTCCTGAGCCTGCCCCCTTCTGTCCAGGCTGTACCTCTGCGCTGCAGGGAGACCTTGACCTGGGAAATGGTCCAGCCAGACTGGGCTTGCGTTTGTGGGTCAGTTTTACTTTCACCTCGAATTGTGATAGCACTGTGTGAGTTCAGGGAGGTAGATATAGGAGAAAAGGCTAATGGCAATTTATTGACACTTTTTCTGTGAAGGAGAAAAGCCCAGTGTCCCAAGACCCAACTTCTTTTGCCTTTGGAATTAGAGGTGGGTTAAGTTATCCTGTGACCCTGTGTGGCCAAGTCTGAATTCATCACATGGGTGGGCTTCATGTCATGGACCCCCTTCTCCATCTCCACCACAGTCATATTAGTTGTTAGTTGGGTAGGTGTTTTTTTGTTTTTTTTTTTTTTCCCTTGTAGCTGATGTTGGTGACCATTGCAACATTAGGAACTCCTAACTAAGGAATGAGTCAAGGGGCGGGGGAGATAACTCAGTAGAGTACGTGCTTGCCTGGCGAGAGCAAGGACCTGAGTTCAATCCCCGGTTCCACCAAACAAACAAACAAAGGAGGCAAATCTGGGAGGTTCTGTCCAGGCTGTGCCACAGGAAGGCCCTGGACACTGCCTGTCCCTTTACAGATGACTGTGCTCCTGTGCAGGGCAGGGCTCTTACTGCTTGGCCAAGCTCCTTCATGCTAATTTTTGAGACCATGACCAACTGGAGATTGAACTCAGGCCATTGCGCTTGCCAAGGAAGCATTTAGTATACTGAGCCATCTCCCCGAGACCCTTCATGCTAACTTTTGGGCCTAGGCAATAATGAGGAGGCTGGAGATTGCCAACATTTTTTTTTTTTTTAGGAGGTTGTTTTTTTTTTTTTAATTTATTTTATTTATTTATATTTGTGGGTGTGTGGCCAGCTCAGCCCACCAGGGGGCGGGGCTGGCTGGCATGTGGTGCTGGGGGATTGAACCATGGTCCCTGTGCTTTGCTAAGCTTGTTCTAAGTAGGTGCTTTAGACCACTGAGCCATCTCACCAGCCCCTGCCAACATTTTTTTGAGATTGCCAACATTTATTCAGCTTTGGTGCTTGTGTCAAGTCCCTCACAAGGCTTGGGTGAGGCATACACTGTTACTATCTGCCTCCTTTTAACAGGGAGGAAACTGAGGCCTAGAAAAGCAAAGTAATTTGATCAGTCTCAGCAGTTGGCAGGATTTGAACCATCAGGGGGGACTTTGGGGCCCCTGCTCTTAACTGTTAATCAGAAGGACCATCCTCTGAGCTGATAATCCCAGCACTCTGGGAGGTTGAGGTGGGAGGATCATAAGTTCAAGACCACCTGGGCAATTTAGTCATTAGTAAGATCCTGACTCAAAACAAAAAATGGGGGAAAAAAAAGGGCTGGGATGTAACTCAGTGTTAAGGCTGTGGGTTCAATCTCCAGTATAAAAGTCTTTTTTCTGTAAGGCCATTTGCAAACAATTTATTTTTATTTATTTATTTTTTGGAAAACATTGAATTTTTATTTTCACATAGAAGACTTTTTTACTACTTACAAAATTCTATGCCTTCTTTAACAATTTATTTTTTATTTTTTATTATATCTGAAAGTTTATGGTCACTTAAAAATATTTTCTTTTTTTTTTTTTTT